ATACCATCAAGTCCTAAAACACCATACGAACATCAAAACACCTCAAACAACATCAAAAACATGAATTCCCCACGGATTCAAACCTAACAAACTTTGGAATTTACAACTTCTACAAACGACGTCAAAACCTATCAAATCACGTTCAATTGACCTCAAATTTTGCACATAAGTCATAAATAACATAACGGAGTTTTTCCAATTTCCATAATCGAATTTTGATCCCGATATCAAAAAGTCAACTCCCCGGTAAAACTTTCAAACTTAAATTTCCTATTTTTGCCATTTCATGCCTAATTTAGCTACAGACTCCAAAATAAATATCTGAACACACTCCTAAGTCCGAAACTACCATACGGAGCTATTGGAACCATCAGAATTTATTCCGGGGTCGTTTATATATAATTCATCATCCGGTCAATTATTTCAACTTAAACTTCCAAAACAAGAATTGTTCTTTCAATTAAATCCCGAATCATCCGAAAACCAAACTTGACCACGCTCGTAAGTCATAATACACATTTCAAAGCTGCTCGAGACCTTAAGCCACCGAACGGAATATTAATTCTCAAAATGACAAGTCGGGTCGTTATATATTCTTTACACTGTTCGGATCTGTTTCACTTTACTGTTTGGGTTGCCTATTTAATTTGAAAGCATGACTACGTTTTTGTTCAGTTATTTCTATTTTATCTGTACCGGTTGAGTTCGTTACTACCTTTCAGTCCAAAGTTTGGACTTGTTACTTACTGAGTTGGATGTACTCACGTTACTCATTGCACCTCGTGTGCAGATCCAAGCATTTTTGGTCACGGCGATGGTTGCTAATTGTGGCTTCAGAGTTTGGGGACTATCAAGATAGCTGCACGGCGTTCGCAGGCCTTGACTCTCCTCCTTTATCAACAGTTGTATTTTCAGTTTATTTCTCGAGACACTGTAGTGGACTGTATTCTAAGTTAGATGCTCATGTATGTAACGACCTGACAGGTCGTTTTGAGCTCTAGCGTGTCGTTCGGCAGTTTGAGGCCATGAGCAGCTTCACTTAAGGTCTTATGACTTATACGCGTGGTAGGGATTGAATTTCGGGAAGTTCGGAGTTGAATTGAAAAGAAAATTCTCATTTCGAAAGCTTTAAGTTGGAACAATTCACTAAGATTAGATTTTAGAATAAACGACATCAGAATCGGGATTTGAAAATTCCAGCAGGTTTGTATGATAATTTCGGACTTGGGCGTATGTTCGGATCGGGTTTTGGATACCCCGGGAGCATTTCGGCACCTATTGTGGAAGTTAGCAATTTGGAAGAATTCCATAAATTTGGTTTGAAGTGCATTTCAATGTTATTGATATCCGTTTGGAATTCTGAGTCTGAGAATAGCTCCGTATGGTGATTCTAGTTTTGGAAGCGCATCCAGAAGTGGATTTGGAGGTCCGCAGGTCACTTTTGAGTCGTTTGGCGAAAGTTAGGAAATTGAAGGTTTTTGAGAAGTTTGACCGGAAATGAAATTTTTGATATCGAGGTCGGATTCCGATTCCGGAAGTTGGAGTAGGTCCGTAATGTCAAATGTGACTTGTATACAAAATTTGAGGTCAATCAGACCTGATTTGATAGGTTTCGGCATCGATTGTAGAAGTTGAAGTTTCAAAGTTCATTAAGCTTGGAATGGGGTGCGATTCATGAATTCGACATTGTTTGGTGTGATTTGAAGGCTCGACTAAGTTCGTAATGTATTTTGGGACGTGTTAGTATAATTGGTTGAGGTCCCGAGGGCCTCGGGTGGATTGCGGATGGTTAACGGATCGAGTTTGGACTTGGAAGAAAAGATGAGGCAGCCGATATCTGGTGTGATCGCACCTGCGCAATAAGGGCCGCATGTGTGAGGTCTCAGGTGCGAGCCAGTGGTCGCAAGTGCGGTTTGGGCGAAGCTGGGCAATGATCGTAGGTGCGAAAGGTTATCCGCACCTGCGAGGTCGCAGATGCGGAGGTGCGTCGCAGGTGCGAGAGTGAGAGAAGGGTCTGGGAGCGCAGGTGCGAGGGTATGTCCGCACCTGCGAAGGCGCAGATACGGAAGGAAAGGCGCAGGTGCGGAGAGTGCTAGGTAGAGGGAATGCACAGGTGCGAGGTTTTGGCACCACCTGCGAAGCCGCAGGTGCGGCTACTATTCCGCAGGTGCGGAAATGTCGCTCGACAGAAGGGTTTTTATAAACTGGACTTGGCCTATTTTTCTCCCATTTTCATTTTCAAGGGGAGATTTTCATCAAGCAATTCTAGGTAAGTGGTTTCTTTCCATTGTGAGTTAAATACATAAATTATACATGGATTGGAACATGGAAATTAGTATAAATTGTGGGGTTTTGGTAGAAGATCTAGAATTTGGTAGTTTTGGATTTTGACCACGAAATTGGGCATGGAATAGAGAATAAACTATATATTTGAGTTCGTGAGGTTATGAGTAAAGTTATCTTCAAATTTTTTTGGAATCCAGGCACGTGGGCCCGAGGGTGATTTTTATCGACTTTTCGATTGGGGTTAGAAATTGTTATAAATTGGATTATATTGAGTATTTGAGTATATATTAATGGGCTTGCATAATTATTGGCTAGTTTTGGAGCGTTGTGCATCGATTCAAGCTGTTTGAAGGGCTCAGAAGCCGGTTATGGAACTTCGGAGCGAGGTAAGTCTCATTTCTAACCTTGTAAGAGGGAATTTACCCCATAAGTAAAATAAATTAATGTGTGCTCCTATTTGTGGGGGCTACGTACGCACGAGGTGACAGGAGTCCGTGCGTAGCTACTATTATGCTTAAGTTCGGGTAGTCTAGGACCCAAAAGCATGCTTTACTTGTAATATTTGCAATCTTGTTGTCAATTTAAAATGCTTAAATCATATCGAACTTTGTTAATAAATTTCTAAAAGGCTAGACATCGTTTTCTTGACTTTTAAAAGAGAAATTGCCTTTTCCTTGGCTAATTGCCCCTTGATGAATTCTTGATTGATTATTTGAATGTGTTATCTTTTGTGGAACGTGCCGAATGCCTCAGTAGATTAAATAGATGCATCTATGATTCGCGTCATTCGACCCTTTGGCAGTGCACAGTTTAAATAATTATTGAATCGGGCCGTACGACCTCGGCATGACTTGCGCATGCTTGTATTGCTTGCCTTAAAATTTATAAATAACGATATTGCCTCCCTGGTCTGAGATAAACTGATAATTTGATATGGCCTGATTGGCCGGAGATATAATCGTTAAATAATGGGAGACAAAATTTGGAGATTCCTTAATTATGAAAGAACTGTTTACTTACTTCAGAATAATGGGTTTGCAACCGTATTAATTAATCCATGTCTAATTTAATGATATTATTTCATTTATTTATAGCCCATAGTAAGTGTCGAAGTCGACCCCTCGTCACTACCTCTTCGGGGTTAGGCGAGATACTTACTGGGTACGCGTTGATTTACGTACTCATGCTATACTTGCTGCACATTTTTGTGTAGGTACACATATGTTTAGCGACCTTGTGGGCGCAGAGGCGCGATTATGGAAGGGACTTAGGTGAGCTGCATTCTATACGACGATCCGCAGCCAACAGAGTCTCCCTCAGAGTACTTACATTTTTCTTGTCCAATTTGTATTCCGGATAGCTGTTGTATTTTATTTTACATTCCTAGTTAATACTCATGCACTTGTGACACCGGATTTTGGGAGGATTATGGGTTGCACTATATTGGAAGTTTTTAAAGATATTATTACGTATTTTGTAAACTCCATCTTCTGCTATTTAATTGAGGGGAACAANGTCGGTAATTTTATTAAATTTATATTTTAATTATTTTAAAATTATATTTCTGACCGAACTCGGTCGAAAATATTTAATTAAAACTTATTCCAGTTGGTAAATTAAATATATATAATTTTTGTTATATTAAAAACCAATTGCCTTGGGCAGGAAAGCATAATTTCAAATATTCCGACCAAAATTGGTCGGAATTTTTGAAAATTTTTAATAAAAAAATATTTTTGTAGATAATATTCAAGTATGACCAGGTCTTGGTCATATATTAACCAAGTTCCGACCGAAATCGATCGGATTTTTTATATATTTGCTGTGGGACCACTATTTCCGTTGTGAGAAATATTTTTTTTGACTTTTGCGACCAATTTACTTAATTTCCGACCGATTTCGGTCGGTTTTTTTCCCGACCGATTTCGGTCGGTATTCTGTGGACGGATTTTGACAGTTTTCTAGTGGTGGAATGATTTATCAATAAACATATTATAACAATTATATAATTGTAGGAGACGAGAGTTTAAATCTTTGTAAAGATTAAAAAATATTAGGTGATTTGATTTCTTTCCATTTAATTTAAACCTTGTATAAACTGGCTCAAAATCCCAAGTTTTTAAAAAAAATTCCCTCTTCAACACCAGTGCTAGCTAAGAGCTATATATCAACTCATGAAGATATTAAATCTAGTTACTCTCCTCGCAAGTTTTTTTTTACTCTTTCTACCTAGTCCAAATTTTTTGTTGATAAAATAGATACTTATATTAAGAACTTACTAACTATTACACAATTACAGAAATGTCTCTTTTCTAAGCAACTTTGATATAAAAAGGAAAAAGAATACCCCTTGATGATTGGAGAAGTTTGGAGAAAGATTTTAAGGGGCACGAAATGAAGGTCTTTTCTTTTGGAGTGATATCAATGGACTATGATAATGATATTTTTCCAGTTTCTGTTGAGTGGTCTTAATCTTGATAATTGAGTGCCTAGCTGATTTTGCAGCTTAATTTAATTCTCCTTTGCTTGTACCAATCCCAGAAAACAAAACATCCTTACAAAATTGAATTTTTATTATTTGAATTATTAGAGCCACATATGATTCCATCACTTTTGCTAGCATAGTAATCTCAAACGAGAGAGAGAGAGAGAGTGATTTACTAATAGTACTTTTTTCCTTTTTCCTTTTTTCCAAATTACAACTGCAAAATCTGTATATATACTGATATTTGCTTCAATTACTGGCAATTTTGGATGCATAGTAACACTTACCAAGATATCTTCCAATGTCACAAAAAGCAAGCATCCCAACAATTACCAGCTACAGAAACAAACCATGTCTCAAAATACCTAAAACCAAAATGTAGCCATTTTAATTGTATGATTGCAAATCACTTCTTTAATGTATACCCCATATAACTACTAGCTAGTACTAAACTACTAATATCTACCTATTACCAATAAGGTCCCAAGAAGTGTATAATTCAAGAACCATTTCTTCTTCCTTTTCAACCAGCCAAATCATGAAGCAGCTGTGCACCCATCAAATTTCTATAAGGCAAATTCTGATTTTCACTGTCCAAAAGTGAATATTGAACTTGTTGACAATCTTGATCAATATGATCATCTCTAGGATAAAACAGTGAACTTTGAGATGCCTGTGAAAATGTACTTAACCCCATTCCACTTCCACCATTTTGGTTTAAACCCAATGTCAAAGACACACCCCGTCCAATATTATGTTGCACACTTTCATTTCCATATGCAATAGCTCCAGTTGAGTTATGATTGTATGATGAAAAATCCAGCTCTATCGCGCCGAAAGAATGATCCCCACCTCTTCCAAAACTATGCAAGTTATGAACTTGATGATGATTTTGAAGACAATTCTTGTTGTTGTTGTTGGTGGTGTCATTTTTCTCAGGGTGATTTATGATAGAAGAAATGCATTCAGAGTCTATTCTTACAAGATTTGGCTTTTGATCTTCAATGTGTAACTGAGGATTTTGATTAATCTGCCTGCCTACACTTATACCATTCATGTCATGATCAAGCCCTTTAGATCCATCTGGAGATTCAAGATTCTCTTGTTGATCTTTGGTTTCTTCTAAGTACATTTCTTCTACCATTGGCTTCCATAGCCTTACCCTTGCATTAATGAACCAATTAGACACCTGCCCAAAAGAAAATGCATTGGAATTTACATGTTGTCACTTGGCTAACGACAAAGAGTTTAAGTTCTATGTACCGACAAATAAAAAATAGTTATATATTGGTCACTTAAAAGGTAAGTGCAACTAACTCTATAAACAAGTATGCATTGCTACTCCAATTTATAATAAATGGTAAGTAACCTGCTATAAGAGATTAAATTACGCTGTTGGTGTTATATAATTTACGAGTGTATAAAGGACAGTCCGGTGCACTAAACTCCCACTACGCACGGGGTCCAGGGAAGGGCAGGACCACATGGGTCTATTGTACACAGTCTTACCCTACATTTCTGCATGAGGCTGTTTTCAGAACCCGTGACCTCCTGGTCATATGGAATCAACTTTACCAGTTACGTCAAGCTTCCCTTCGGTATTAATTTACGAGTGCATATAACTTTAATTCAAAGACAAATAAAAGTAAATATTTAAAAAATGTTGATCATGTAATAGTCTCATATACTATGAAATGGAGTATTCTAAGAAGATATGCTTCACTACTAACATATATTTTTGTACATATATGGAGTAAAATAATGTATTGGTGAGAAAGGGACATGCCTGGCTTCTTGAAAGACCAGTTTGGCGGGCTAAAATGTGTTTATCAACATCACTTGGGTACCTGCAATTGTTACCGTAAAGAAGAAAGTAAATATAGTTTGTACTTGTAAAGTCTATTACTACAACTACTTCTGACTATCAGTTTAAAAACATTTGTACTTCTATGTGATATGATAACAAAATGAATATCAACAAAAATTCTTATGCATGCAGATTTCTGGAGTAGTGGGGGTGTAAAGCTGGTAGTTAAAACCGACAAAGGAAAAAGAAAAAAAGCAGAAGGAGTTACTATTGTAACAGATAGAGAGTAACTCCCAAGATATTTAGCTATATTTGTGAACAATGATTGATGGCCCAAAGAAAGATCCTTGGTACTAGAACTACAAGTGGGGTTGTGATGTTTCCTTTTGGTTTTATAGAAAAACTTTGATTCACTTTCTCTGTAAATATATATAGTTTGTATTACATATATACAAAGAGTCAAAAATTGTAGCTTATAATAGTATTTTCTAAACAGAATACACATACACATATGTGTAAACTTTCAATAAATATTAGACTTTGAACCATAATTTAAATAGTACGACGAGTGCAAAAATGTTTTAGTGAACTCGAAGAATTTCAAATCTTTTGGATCATCACTGAATATTATAAGGAAGGTAAGTCATCAAATTTTAGATTTTGATCATAATATAAAAAGCATGATGAGTTGCTAAAAATCTTAGAAAGTTAAACTCATCAAGAGGGTAAGTCATATAAAAAATTGTAGTTTATAATAGTATTTTCTAATTAGAATACACATATATTTGTGTGTGAAAAACCACTAAATTTTCAATAAATATTAAACTTTGAACCATAATTTAAAAAGTACGATGAGTATACTAGTAAAAACGTTAAAGAAGTCATAAACTCATAAATTTCAAATTTTGAATCCGTCTTTGAATATTGTAAGGTGGGTAAGTCATCAAATACTCGATTTTGATCATAATAATAAAAGCAGGATGAGTTCAGCGTTAAAAATCTTCAAAGTTAAACTCATCAAGAGGGTAAATCATATCAAAAGTGATGAAATAAGGGAAATTAGTGAAGAGAAAAAGGGATATTTACGGGTGAAGAAAGTGTTCAAAAAGCCAAGCACGTAGAACAGAAACTGATCTTTCAGGCAAACCACGTTGAGGTCGCCAAGGATGAGTTTCCATCATATTCATTTGTTGAAAAGCCTTTTGTTGCCTTAGTGTTTGATCAAGAAGTCTAAGTCTTGGTGTTTCTCCTCTTGTTGTACCAGGAACAACAACTGTGTCTTTTTCTCCCATTGCTTTTTTTGTGGCCTTAATTTGTCCTACAATTCCATCTCTTAAACATCTAAAATGCCTTGACATTGCCTTTGAAGCTAAGGTTGAGTAAACTCTTGCTGCTCCATTTCCAGCCACTGCTTCAAATGTTGATACAACTGCTTTCATTTGATCACAATAGTGCTTGTATCTTCTATCCACCTATGTACATAAATAAACAAACAAGCCCCCATGTAAAAATCAGTCAAAAAGTAACCAAGAAAAGCAAAAAAATTGAATCTTTTTATTTTTATCTTTTGTAATATTGTGAAAGAAAGTGAGTAGCTAGCATGAGTAATGAACAGGAATAAAGAGTTCTAAAAATTAATGGAATAGTGAAATTTTGACTATGTGAGCATTAATTGAGAGGGCCTTTCAGTCTCTCAATTAGTTCAAGATTTGATTTTACAACAGTTAGAAATCTTCAACTTTCAACTATTTCATGTAAAAGATTCAAAGATACAATAAAAAGAATATCTTTTTTCTGCAGGCTAGAATTAATGAAGTGTATGAGAATGAAGTATATACCTCTTCAAGCATTTGAAGCAGCTTTGTTTTTCTTTTCTGAAGTTCTAAAAGGTCAAGGGACTGTAAAGTTTGCTTTTTTGAAGTACTAGCATTCTCATCTTCCCATTGGTTGGACTTTTGTTGCTTTAATACTTTTGCTGAAGAATGATCATTTTGCTTTGTTCCAAGACTACAGAATTCAACCAGGAGCTCCTGAGCAGGACCTAAATATCTTGAGTCCTTAATCTGATGATAATACCCTTGATTTTGTTGTTGAATATTTGCAGCTGCTTTTCCCAAAAAACCATCTTGAATTATTTGTTGCTGATGTCTCAGTTCAAAAGATTGCAAACCAATACTAGATGGATTTGATGAACAAAGAGAAAGTGAAAGTCCTTGACTTGGCCTTTCATTTCCCTCACAAGGGAATACACATCTTAAAGATGGATCTTCAACGAGTAATCTGTTATTCTCATGCCAAGCTTGATCTTCTGTTGGTGAAACTAGTAACATATTTTCACTTGTAGTAAAATTACCATGTTGGTAAAACTGTTCATTTGTTGATTTGGAAGAGGAAGGACCAGTGCTGTTACCACCAGTTTTGTTAAAGAAATTACCTTTCCACATAACTTGAGGATTGTTTGTTGGAAACCCTATCATTTCCATGCCAGAAGTCAAGTTGTAAATCTCTGGATTAGTTTCAAAGCTTTGCAACTGATGATTCACTAGATTTGGAATATTACTTGGTGTTGAAGTATGATCTGAATACCAATAACCAGTACTTGTAACCATTGACCTTGGTTTAATCTCTTCACTTTCTTGACCAGCCATAATACATAAACATATACAAATCTTGTTACTTGTTACAGCTTTCTGCTTTGTCACAAGATCTGCATCTTTTATTAAAACAACCCAAAAAAGGAAATAAATGAGAAGAACATCAAAAGGCAAAGATCAAGTGAACTAAAAAAGGGTTTTTTTACCAACAAAGTTACCTTTTTTGACCAAAAAGATTGGATTTTTAGTCACTCAAGTGCTTGTACCAACTTGTGTTTGATGATGATAAAGAATAAAAAAGAACTATAGATGGTTGTTGAGAAGCAGCAGCAGCAGAAGAAGAAGAAGAAGAAGAAATGGACCTTAGTTTTCTGAGACATGTTCTTTCAAAATCCAAACAAGAAACATCATTAAAAACACAACAAGATGATCAGAAAATTCAAAGGTGTAGTACTGTGGAAAGGAGAAAATTACATGGAGTTCCAGGGGTTAAGGAGAGAGAGAGATGGGGCCTGGGG